CTCTGCCTAATGGAGAACACCTTGGAAAGAGAACAGTCGGTCCTGATCTCTAGCACCAAAAAGTTAGGATCCACTTCTGTACCAGAAGCTTCAGGGCTGATCCTGGGATAAGCTACATACAGAAGCTATAAAAAAATTGGTATAAAGGGCAACATCTATTTTGTCTTAAGATTTTAATGTGGACACTTCTTTTTTATCTTGAAAAGAGCCTTTTGAGGATTTAGTGCACTTACAGAGTAGGCTAAACTAGATCACCTAGAATCAAAACCAGTTTAGGTTGGAAGGGAACCCTCTTATGTCACTTCATCCAACCTCCAGCTTAAAGCAGTGCTAATTTCAAGATCAGTTCAGGCTCCTCAAGTCACTGAAAATGGAAAGTAAGAGTGATGGTATGCAGAGAGAGAATGAAATAGCTGTTTTATCTCTTGGAGACATGGCATAAGCTCTGTTGCCTACTCAGTGTGCTTTTCATGTGATATCTCTCAAAAAGTTACAATAATTATCACAATTTCATCCCTGACTGAAAGACAATTCACTTTTTTTGATTATCTGCATTGACAATATGCAAGTTTTACCTAAAATAAGCACCTGTCCAGTCTTCATTGACATCCTCAGATGTTTAGCTAGTAAGATTATACAAAATATCAGTATCTTATTTCAATAAGATATGGAAGAATTTGGTTGTTCAACTGAACTATTCCTCTTATGTTGCTTGTTATCTGACTGATAAAACTTATTTCATTACTTGCTGTTATGACTTGAACCCTTTGGCTTTTTCCCTGTTTGTCTCCTTAAAAGGCTACACTACTTTTTAAACACTAATGCCCCAGGCTAGATAGTGGCAAGTGATAATTTCAGGAGCAGGTGAAAAAGGGAGGCACAATCTCAAGGGATGTCACACTGGCCGCTTTGGTTTACACTGCAAGCCACACAGCTCCCTGAAGGAATAGGTATAATTTACTCATGAACAGCAGGATCTAAGGTGCACAAGAATGGATGACTGCTCTGACTTGTCTTTGGGTACGTCCACTTCTCATGAGCATAAATTTTTGAGCTATGCCTTTAACACAGAACAAAATTTCAGATCTGATTTTGAAGTTCTGGGTTGGTGCAAGTGGTAATTCAGGAGATAAATGATGGACAAAATCCGGGACAGGTTAGGTCAGATGTCTATCCAAAGAAAACAATGTCTTGAAAGTGAAAAAAAGAAAAGCTACAATTCACTATATGTTCATTAAGATGTGAAATGTAAATGTATACAGAAATACAGCATAATTTTATTCAAAATTTGTGCTCTTACACAAATCCACATCTAAGGTGGTGAAACAGTATTTGTGGAACTCCCTGGTTAGTCATGAATACTATTCCATACAAACATAAGAGAACAATACAATCCTCATAGCTATCAGATAAAGTAGTATTTTTAGAAATAAGGAAATACAACACTAATACAGAAAACATAGTGTCACCTCTCTTAAAGATCCAGTCATCATCACCTCTCAAAAGATTAATACAGAATTGAGGAGATGCAGAAGAGAACTACTAAGATGCTCTGGAGTTCAACAACACTAAGAATATTGGTTTATTTAGTAAACAATATGAATGGTATCTATAAATACTTCAAGGTGATAAACATTAGTGTGAGTGTCGCTGGAAGGGCACTATTTAAGATAAAGAACAATGCTGATATAAGAGTAGAAGGGTATAAAATGGTCAGTAATAAATTTAAACCGGAATAAGGGAAATGGCCTTCCACCAGCAATATTGCTGCTGTTACTAGTTTATGAAATGAAAATATAAATGTTGTTTGTTGAGTTGTTCTAAACCACAATTTTTAACGCTGTCTTTTTCAACACTGGCGTTCTTTTCACACCCCAGTGCTTCACTATATTTTCTGATGCTCAGAAAATGAAAGGAGAGGGATTTGATTTTCTATCAGCTCAGCTTACTAAACGTTAATTCAGGTGCAGTCTCTACATGACGTAACTAAATGATCACGGTCAAACTGTAAAATACTGCCACCAGCTGACAGATGAGCATACCATGGAATACATGAAAGGCACTGACATGCATTAGAAAGCGTAACATTTGGATGCTACAGAAAAAAAAGACTGTGCTTTTCCTTTGATAAGAAATCAGACTAATGCCCTATTACGAATGATGGCCTCCATAGCTGAAGAGTTTTAATCCTCTAGCTGTTCATTACTACAATCATACTCAGAACGTGGGAGAAGGAAAGGGAAAGGATTCCCCTCGTGTCTTAAATACATGTTTATTTTCTGAAGATTACTGCATCAAGATGTCTCGGGTAATTGGTCACAGAAGTAGTACTGTCATTTCAAAACTAACAAGCATTCACTTTGAATACTAGCAGCTGGTTGTAACAGTGAGAAACAGCATTGAGTAAAAGGCAGTTTGAGAAAAAAGCTTCTGTTCTGTTGCTATTTAATGAGGGATTGTGAGGCACATGCCTCATAAGGAAGTAAGGAAAATGGCATTTACACAGTAAAGACTCAGATATTCCACCGATAAATCATTCCCTCGTCCAAATTAAAAATAATCCAAAAGGTTGTGGATAAGAGAATAATCGCTCTGTTTTATCAAAGAACAAATCCTTAGGAGTTCTTTTCATTCACTTCAGAATCAGAAAGAAACAAGACCTTAGAAACACAGTTTTTAAAGTGGTTGTTCTGCAGCACACACATTCAGTTTCTGTAACTTAAAAAGACCAGTGCACTAAACCACTTTGTTTCTAATGATTAGGAGAGATTACGAACACATTTGAATAGGAAAAAAATTACTTCAGTTCTCAGAGTACAAAATAATTTTCCTCCCTAACAGTTTTTTTGCTGAAAGCAAATCATATGCTAATTCAATTGTATATAATCACCAGCTCCATCTTGGTACCACTATGGAACTGTACTCTTATGAGAGTGTTTCTGACTCAGAATCTTATCTGACTTACCTGTATTTTCTTTGTACTTGTTTTTGGCTGCAATATAGAAATACTTTCTCAGGATAACACCTCCCTTACCATTTAGAGCCTATTACTGCCAGAACAGGCAGATACAGTATATATATATATATATATATATATATAAAAGAACTGCTATAAGCAGAATGAAAACCAACTCTTAAAACTCTTAAACTTAGAAAATAGTTATAAGAAGACTGACAAAATACTTTCTTGAGTTTTCCTCTTCTGGAACAGCCAAAGAGAAATGCTCAATTGGATAAGCAGCATGTTGTGGAATATATAAATAAAATGAAAAGACTGAGCACTTTCTATTAAAAGAAACTGAGCTAATTATTCAACACAAAAAACCTCCTTATTTGCAGTGTGACATCCATGAGTTAAGGATTTTAGTCCTTTCCAACGTTATCACGTTTTCTAAACAGTTGTTCTGCTGCTAACCCCAGTTCAACCATTCCCACTAACAGCACCAGCAAACATAAAGAAAACAGACTGCTGGGTGTATGCTCACGCTCTCAAAACCATCCCTCATAACCAAACTGAACAAAGTTCTCCTTTCCTGAAAACCTTGCCAGCCATTTTCAGCTCAGTGCAAGTACTACTTGTTTTCTTTCTTCTTCTTGAGTTTTAAGATCCATAAACTGGTATCAATACCTTTTTCCAGAACCTGTTCCTACTATTATGGCAGCATACCTGTTGGGTGTCACTTGGATGCTTGCTTTCACTTCTTTTACAATCAATCATGCCATAACCTACTAGATTTCCCTTTATCCGTACTGGCCTTAAAAAACAGAAAATTAACAAGCCCCCATAGTTGCAAATAAAATATGAAACAGGAAGAAAAGAGCACACACTTCCCTCGCCCCTTTTTACAAATTTAGATTTGTGTAGGAGCACTTCCTTGGAAACGTACATTGAACAAATTTCCTGTTTATAGGCAACTTCATTTAATACATATACGCACGTAGAAAGCCCCAACGCGGTTTGACACATTAACTGTGTTAGTGTAAACCACAAGTTATTTTGGACATTTCCTTACCATAATGCTACATACTATCTCATACCTACACTGCAACACTTCACCGAAGCTACCTGACCTCAAGTGAAAATATACGTGTTTTGAAATTTCCAATTGCTCTGGTCACAGCAGCAGCATATTATATATTCCTAGTGTGGAGCACTTTTGCCCTAGGACTTTGTGCCGCAGAAGCTGAGTCTGAGAATTCCTCTTTACTGAAAAGATCAACTAATAGCTGTTTGCCCTTTCTAGGTAAATGATAAGGAAAACACACTAGAGGACTAGCAAGCGCCAAATGATCCTAGCCTGCATCCATGATACGGGGTGGTTGTGTTAGGAATGACAGGCTGTTCTACCCTGAGCTTTAGTCGAAATTCTTGAATGGGAATATCATTTGAATTCAAAGGTGATATTACAAATTCCATACCATGTGCCTGCACATGGACTGGATTTGAACTAGTGCCAACTTGGGAAGGTTAATGTGAGTTAACTTGGAGCTATCTCACTGGCATCAAAAGGGCCAATGCTTTACCTACAGGTTGGTTGATTTGTTTGTTTAGGTACATTCTGTGTCCAAGCCAAAGACAGAAGTTCCCCATATAATGAAAGATTTCCATACCTCTCTTGACATTACAAAAATATCTGATCCCAAATAGTATTCAATCACGTTTCTTGAATAGTTATATGAAAGAACCCAGCCACAAAATAAATACACAGTGAAATGAATCAGAATTGTTTTCTTAATAGTAATTACACATGAGACATTTAAATCCTTAGACTGCACTCGTTGTTCCAGGAACTTTACGACATGATGAAGTTTAATAAAAACAGATCTACTCTAAGGACAATTTTGGAGACATCTCTACCCAAATGGATGCTATTTCTCCTCTGTTCCCTCCTCCAGAAGTCCCACTATTATTGTTCCCTTAGACATGATACATTAAGCTAAGAAAATATTCCATACAATTTAATAAAATTAAAAAAAACCCCTTCTAATCAATGACTTACCTTTAAGAGAGCCAAGGCTACATGGAAAATTATGTTCATACCCTGAAAATGAAGAAAAAGACTTAAATCAGTCCCAGCATACAAATCTCTACTCTCTATTACTTATCACTATGTAGCATCATAACTAGATGCTGTAAATCTCTAGGGAATGCTTCCCTTTTCTCTGCTACACTTCAAAGTTCATCATTAAAGCCCCAAGGCAGTTTCCAAACTCCCAGCTGGGGAAGACGATGGCTCTTTGGAGCTTTTGGAATCTCACAGTTCAATTCGTCAGGTGCTATGGATGTGACAAGATCTCTCTCCATCACTTTAGTACCTGTCAATGCTGGTTTTCATGAACAGTGCAGAGTATTCTAACAAGCAGGGTATCAAGAAAATGTAATAAATATTCTAGTTGATAGGATTTTTGCCAAGTGACTGAGCTTAGCTATGATTAATCATGTACAATCTTTCATGCTCAAACTGTAAAAAAAAAGGCAAAATAAAACAAAAAAAAACCCTCCACAAGTACAAAATACACCTTTTTTCTGTTATCAGCCAAAAATCAAAACTATTTCATAGGCAAGAAACTTGATGTCTGTATCAAATAGTCTGCTTTCTGGTTTGCACAAGCTGGGAATACAAGTCTACAAATACAAGTTCAGTGAATAATACAATGACAATGTCCAATTATTCAAAAATCAAAGAAAGCAAAAACTACTCCACTGGCTGTCTATAGAGGAGTGAAAAAGGCTACTTTTCCGCTTAACATTGTCTACAAAAATAAGAAATATCACTCCCCTGCTTTTGTTGAACATCTTTTTATTTTGGCAGTCAAGACCCTGAGATTTTCCCGGGGGAAGGTGAACACATACCCTGAACAAGGCTCCTTTGGAGCAGCCTAACTGAAACTACTCCTGGGGTCCTGCTTCGAAAACTAGCCAGGGGCAGCTCAGGCCAGAGGATGCAAGATGCCAGCCTTGCCGGCAGGGCACACATTGCCTCTGCTGATGGAAGAGACTCTCCTGCCTCTAGTCTACACATCTTGATTATTTAAGATTATAAATAGCTTTGTGTTCATCCAAATATAAAAAAACACCATATGCAGTTCTCATTTGCTGTATTATGTACTTTGTGTTCAGACTGTTTTCCTAGATTATATTTTAAAAATCTTGTCTGCTTGTTTAATGGCATGATAAATCTTTTCTTATAATGTCTTTCAGAGCTGATATCTAAAAATGTTTCAATAGATTTGCACACAAGTAATACTGTCACTGCAATACATATTGTTGTGGGATAACAACAGGACTTTTTATAAGGAAACCTTCTCCAAGAAATTTCTGCTTCTGCAATTAAGTATTTTTCTAAGCCTCTTCCTGAAAGCCTGAGACGGTATTTCTATAAAAATTAGCTTTTATAAAAATCTGCAAAGACTTTTCAGAGGCATTCTTGGGAAGAAATTGTGGTTTTTTACATGGATAGTATGGTGCCTTGAAGGGATTTTACCATTAATGAGTCTTAGAAATGCTATGACATTAGACATAATGAATATTGCAACACTCTGTGAATTACTTTGCAATTCGATGCATAATCATTATGATAACAAACTGACTGTTTCCACTAGAGGTCACAATTGTAGCAGGACTGAACCCTGCTTCATTAATAGCAAACCGTTCTTCCAAATGGGATAACAAATATTTTAAGTAAACAACAGTTATTTTGCTTTTTATACTTCTTTTTAATAGAAAAAAATGTCTGGCTGTGAATCAGTCATGACACTGATAATACTAGAGCACCAGCAGCAGAAAAATAAGTTCATAGTACTCTCAGTTTTATTCCAAATATCAATCTGAAGTCAACAGTTCATTCCACACAGTCATGACATTAACAACTTTTAATTCCTAGCAGAGAGGATTTGATATGAACATACAAGCTATAAATGAGAGCCATAACTACAAGCCATCACAAACATTGTGTTTTCTTCTTAACTGATGGATCAGATTTTGTTATTTTATGAGTAGGAGTATTATGTCTAGTTGTTGGATTACTAAGAAATCAGAGTCCTGTGTATTTTCTGGCACTACCCAAAAAAAAAAAAAAAAAAAAAAAAAAAAAAAAAAAAAAACAAAACAAAAAAACAGTTTTCATTTATTTTCTAAATAATTTTTTCTGATCTGCCTGAAACTCACATTGTTCCTGAATTGAAATTAATCAAACTCTCTCCTGCTACTCCTCTTATATGATCACTCTTCACATGGATAGCAAATGCAGCAGAAATAGGTTTACTCCTGCCTTGAGAATCCCCAGCTCTTTTTCTAGCCCCACCGGGCAAGGGGCGGCTCACAAACTCCGTCATCTTACTTGAGATAACCTGTTCAACACACAAATGCCCTAAAATCAGAACACCAAAAGGCCTTAAAACCTTTGTATACAGCTGTCCTGAGCGGCACGCCACTACTCCTGGCAACAGAAGACAATCTGCACCCTCCTGTTTCCTCAAAGGGAGAGGTAACTCCCAAATCAAGGCACTATTTTAGGCCTGAGGCATCAACTGCTGCCGTTTCATGCTGACCAGCTTGGACTTGCTGCACCTGAAGGACTAATAGACCCCTTGACAGCTGAGTGAATCGGAGGTGGCATCTGGCAATCTACAGTAAGGCTTCTACTCACGTTTGGCTTTACAGCAAGACGCTTTAGATTTCAAATGCAGTGCCTTACCCACCCATTTTAACAACACATTTTATAACCACTGATCTACATACTTGAGTTATTTTTTCCTAATGCATGCAAGTCTATTCTGACATAGCCAAGTTTAATGATGATGATTATGAAAAAGAAGGCTCAGCTCATTTTTCCACAATCTCTTATTTAAAATCCTACTTCATTTACCACACACTGATTTATAAGATTCAGCTTAAACTTCTCCATCTATTTTAGAAGAAGGACCAAAAATACCAATGTGCACCAGACATATAAATCATTGCTAGCAATATCCCTCCAGCAATTTTATAATGGAAACATGAAAGTACATACAAATCATCCACAGGGGGAAAGAGAAGGGAGCCCATATTAAATAAGCTTTGGATAATTACTTTTTAAAACCAAAGGTCATATGTTTAACTAGGCATTTGGAAATAAATGCTTTCATATCATGCAGATCTCATCTTAATATTTAAAAAATTTGCAAATATGAAAGTTGTTCATAATTATATAAACAGTTGTGGTTTTTAATATACAACAATCAAAACTAAAAATATATGCTATTACTAAACAAAAACCGTTATAAGAGCACAGGAACAGTTAGGGACTTATCATCATGTCATATCACTTCGCAATTATGCAGCCACTCTCTTGTTTTTCAACCTGGGAGGCTTTGCTGCTAGTGAGTAAATGAAGGAGGAGTGTGCAGCCTGCACAGCTCACAGACATTAAGCCCACAGGCAAGGATCCCAGAAATGAGGCATGTGGATATCCTCCTCCAAGGAGCTTTTAACTAGCCTTTTGCAGAAGGCCAGCAGTTTCTATGACAGCCTGTCTTAGAGGCTTATCTGCCTAGTTAAGCATCTGCACAGTATCTTCTTCTTTCCAACAGGTGTTATTTAAGAACCCTCTTAAGCTTGTGTAGAGGCCTAGAGCATTTTAACAGATCTCATTAAGCTCAGGAGTTTTGGAGAAGGAACAAGCCCATCTCAAAGCAGACAGCTCTTCTGCAGTCAAGATGGTAAGATGAGGGTTCGGAAAGGGAAAATTTTAGAGTTTGTGCTATCGTACAGCCTCCTTATGGCTCCTGCTAACTGCCACGCTGACCACTCTCTGCTTTACAAAGACTTCCGTAGGACAGCACTTACTCAAGAGCATAGTTTTGCAGAAGAACCCATCATATCTACTGGGATGACAGTGCTGGGATGAACACTCACCATCCACTAGGCCACCATTTAATTCATTAAGATTGCCCTTCATAGAAGCATCCGCTTACGTGAATTATATGTCAAAAGGCCATAATTTCTGACAGAGATTGTAGGTAACATTCTCATGGGCAAAACGGTGAAACTGTATCTCCTAAGACTGTAAAAATGAAACACTTCAACTGGAAATGATACATGTGCACTGAAATTAAGGCTGGCTTAAAATAAGTGGAAATCTTATTATGCTAACTCTTCTAGTGAGAGATTTTCACAGTCCCTTGAGGCCAAGATTCCTTCTGCAGATAGAAGAACTCTTTGAGGCATCCTCACTTTGAGTCCCTCTGCACATTGAAGCAAGATGCCTTTCCAAAAGGCCTGAAAAGAAGATTGGGAACAAAGAACAGAGAATGGTAAAGATCTGATTTTGTAGGATCCAGTTTGTATTCAATGAGATCTCTGTGACAGAAAGGATGCTCATGGCTTCCTTTAGAAGGGAGGAGGCATATCTATTCATTTGACCCAGAAAATCTACCCAGAGATCAAAAAAAAAGGGAGTTAAGGGGGCAGCAAACTAACACTTGCTACTGGCAAAGTTCAACAGCATAGCGTGGAGTTGGCAGAAGAGTTAGGCCAAACAATTTAATCATGTAGTATTTGGACAACATTTGCATAGGGGACAACTTTGGAATTTATCTCCCATTTTAAAGCTTTTCCTTAATGACAAAAGCCTTGTGAGAAGGTAGGCTATATTAAATACTAGCATCTCTCCCTCTCCAACCCAGACCATCTGACAGACCTTCCTCTGGTTATAGGGCAATGCCCTTTGCATCATTTTCAGATGTTGAATACATGGAAAATTCATTTAATATTAGCGTCCTTATCTGTGGTTTTGCTCCTAGATATGCATGACATGTAGGAGGACACAGTGAAGATACTGATAAAATGTTCTCTAAAGTTCAGCACCAGGTAAAGAAGATACATTGAAAGTCAACTGAGCACCTTCTTAAGGTCTGAGAAGCCTCAAGACTCACACAACGTGCCATCAGGAGAACCAGTTAATCTGTTCCAGCTTTCTAATAACTGATTTTTCCTTTTTTTTAAAAGAGAGATTAGCTATTCAACTGAAGTTAATTTGACATTGTTTTGTAATTCGAAAGT